ATTTTTATCTTTAGAAGTTCCAAAAAAAACAAACATTACAACAACAAAAAAATTTATACCCAAAATTAGTATAAAACATTTAGTAGATTTTGGGGGGGGGGGTTAAATACAACAAACTTTCTTTGTTTATGTGATTTTGTTAAGTAGATATGTCTAAGGATGGATGGAGTAATTTTTATTTTATTTTAAATTCTCTTGGATAATTTTAATAAATAATAAATGCAAGTTCTCCTCAAATGGATAAACAAGTCATATTTCCAAAGAATATATAGACAATATATTTTATTAGAATTTTTATATTATTGTGCATGTGCTAAATGCTACTATTTTGTTCCTAAATATAAGATTTTATTTGTAGATTGCAAATGAGATCTTATATTTAGAATTAGAAATATTATATTGCTGCTGGCTTTCCAATTCTCCCGCGTTAATCACTCAAGAAATATGCAATGTTTGTTCAGGAAAAATATGATCTTAAAACTAACACTCGTGTTTTTATTGAAATATAAATATAAAAATAAAAATAAATCATTTTATTAAGTAATAACTATAAAAGCATAATAAATTAATATAAAAATAAAATAACTCTCATGTCTAACGTGCTAAAAATATTTAGGAAAATTGAAATGGAGAAGGCAAAAGGGATTAACATTAAAATATTAAATATTGTGTGTTTAAAATTATTCCTGGCATGAAAAGAAATTAAATAAAATCATATTGCATAATTAATTGTGTAGGTCTTACTAGAAAAAGTTTTAGGGGCATTTGAATCGGTTTTTTAAAAGCAATTTTAGGAAATACAAGGTAAGTATGTGAAAATAGTTTTATCCCAACTTATCTGAAATATTGGTATAAGTGCTTATAATTGTGATTCCTAACAAGACTTATATCCAATATATTAAGTTCTCCAATCAAATATGGTTATGAATTTTTTTTCTAGGTTCATATGGATTTATAATTAAATTTTATTAAATGCTAATATTTAAATAACAGGATTGTATCATTGGATAATACTACCTCTGGCTTTAATTATAAGAGCCAGTTAACTAATTTGAGGAGATTAAAGAAGTAAGTTGAGTTAGTTATTTGTCCTAAATAGGTGTTGTCTTTTCTAAAATATTATTGCTAATCAAGTGTATTGACTAGAACTCTTATTATTAGAAGGACTATTTTGGAAAAAAAAGAGTACAAATATGAGAAACAAAATGGATTGAGATCTTATATTTATGATCAAAATAAAAATCAAATAGGGTCTCATATTAAGCGCAGGAGGTAGTAATATGAACAACTCACTAAATATTGTTCACTTGTTTAGTCAATTTTGCATGGCTCAACGCCCATCTAATTCTGTAAAAACCATTCCAGGCTCCGATCTGACTTCCAGTTTTATTTTAGGTTGAATCCAGTTCAATCAAGGAAAATGATTCTATGATCCAAACCAACACATCAATAACTCCAGTGAGGAGTTCAACCATGGGATCTATCCATACTAGTCGGTTTTCAAATCCCGGGCTTTAATCTGAAGGCTTTGAGTTTGATTCTGTTCAAATTAGTCAGATGGACGAAGCAGTGATTATTATGTTTATCTTTGGAAATGAAGAAAAAGTTGGTGCAAATATGGGATTAGCTGGTAACTAGCCAAGAAACTTGTCTACTTGTCTCCCTCCACATGGTCGGAGACTTTCTCTCTCTTACGCACACACACATTCTCTCTCACTCTGTCGCTCTCATGCGTGTATTGACACGGTCTCGCTCTGTAACGGCCCATATCACACCTCTTGGTCCCTTCTATTTATAAGAACGCATAAGCGTAGCGAGACTTGCCTCATTGCTACTGCGAGCAAGCGTTGAGAAGCATTTCCACTCTGAGCTTGTTTCGGACGCTTCTTTCCGAATTGATACGAAAAGATTCTCATCCCTTAAATTTCTGGGTTCTTGAATCTTCGGGTACTGCCTCCTCTCTCTCGCTCTCTCTCAAAATTTCCTTTTGCTTCTATGGTTATTGAAACTGCTACAATGGTGTTCACTTCGTAATGCTGTTCAGATTGTCTGGAGTATATGAATCCAGATTATGTAGATTGGTTGTATTATGCTGCAATGTATCTGATATTTCTTCTCTTTTTGGTTTTTGTCTGCTTGGGACTTTACGATTTGGTGAAAATTCCCACGATCCGTATTTCCATCTCTAACTGGGTTTGTCGGTGGTTTGTTATTCATCTTGATTTGGAGACTTGTTTGGTTTGATGGTAGAGCATTTGTTAGAGAAAAATGGGAGCATAAAATTGTTCTGGGGGATTATTTCTTGATACAGAATGAATCGTGTACTGATGGCTTTTGCAGATCCAAGTGTTATTTCTAACATCCCATTTGAAATTTTTTGTTGATCAGTTTGATGAGAATGGCTTGTGTTCTTGCCGGTGAAAATGCATCTCTTTTTCAACAAGTTCCTATTGTGCATTCTTCTCCCCCCAGATAGTTACTTTTATGAGTATTGATGGACTTGTGTTCTAAGTTCTTTTGATGGACTTGTTGAATAATGAAGAATGGTGTGAGTTCTTACAGCTTGCAGAATCAGGAGTATCATACTGCATTAGTTATTCCTTAGACACTTCATTGCTGCAGATGATCATGACCACTGGAAAAATGCATTATATGATATCGAAATTTTGATGATATTGTAAACTTTCGTCTTTTTACAGGATCTTGGACTGCATTTAGCCGTACAGATTTGTTTTATTGCTGTATGGCGATTTCCCTTTCATGTTCATTTGCAAAGTACAATGATGTGGATGATGGCTTAGACTCTTCTATGGCAAGATCCATCAGTTTTGGCAAAGAAGTCAAGACTCTAGTTCGGTCTGTTAGTTTCAAACATCTTGGTTCAGAACCAACGATAAGGAAATGTCTTGGCTCTGGAAGGATGACAATAGAAAAATCAGTGAGCTTCAAGAGGAATGATATGGAGAGAATTATTACAGCTAAGACTCTCTTATTTGACAGTGAGAAAATCATGACTACCTCAAGAATGAGCCAAAACAGAAAAGAGATGGATGATCTTGGTCACTCTTCTAGATTAGACTGTAAAGAGGAAAACATCCACTCACAAACTTTGGATCTAAAAAACCCAAAACACATGGCTGCTGTTAAATTGCAGAAGGTATATAAGAGCTTTCGTACCAGAAGAAAGCTAGCTGATTGTGCAATTCTTGCCGAACAATGCTGGTACTTGCTCATTTCAAAACAAAAGCCTGCTCTTCTTCATAAAATATCTCTCTGTTTTTTTCCCCCAATTGATCTGGACCTTTGTTTCATTCCTAGGTGGAAGGTCCTGGACTTTGCTGAACTCAACCGCAGGTCAATCTCGTTCTTTGACATTGAGAAACCTGAAACTGCTACTTCACGCTGGTCGAGAGCTACGAGCAAAGCTGCTAAGGTATGTCTCATATCCAGATGCTTAGAAAGTTTTTTACCCTTGTTATGTCATGTCAATGCTTAGGGTGGATGAAAAGGACCGTAAGCATTTCTTTGTTGTTGCAGGTTGGAAAAGGTCTATCAAAAGACGAAAAAGGTCAAAAACTTGCTCTACAGCATTGGCTGGAAGCGGTTAGTAAGATGCATGATCTTTCTTTCTTTACAAAACAATGTCTGGGTCTTTCAGCAATAATAACCTTTGAAATTCTCATGTGTGGAACAGATTGATCCGCGTCACCGCTATGGACATAATCTGCACTTCTATTATGACAATTGGCTCCAGTGTCAGAGCAGGGAACCTTTCTTCTACTGGTAATATTCTTTGTGAAATATCTTTCTTGTGGTCACAACTCACAACTTAGTCTATTACTCTATTGTTTGACATAACTTCTCCTTTGACATTTGCAGGCTAGATATAGGACAAGGAAAGGAAGTAAATCTTGAAAAGTGCCCTCGATCTAAACTTCAACAACAGTGTATTAAATATCTGGGTCCGGTAAGCTTTCCAACATTTACACAAGTATCCACTAACCATGCATATTTACTCTAGCAACCTTTTGGTTGAGTTTATATTCATTACTTTTGTTCTTCAATTTTGCAGATGGAACGGTTGGCTTATGAAGTCGTTGTTAAGGATGGAAGGTTCTTCTACCAGCAATCTGGAGAACTCCTTCACACTAATGGAGAAGGTGGGCATGCCAAATGGATTTTCGTCCTAAGCACATCGAAGAGCTTATATGTTGGTATGAAGAAAAAGGGTTCTTTTCAGCATTCTAGCTTCTTGGCTGGAGGAGCCACATCAGCTGCTGGGAGATTAATTGTTGAATACGGTGTCTTAAAGGTATATAGAATTAGTAAAAGGCTCATAACTATCCTGGAACAAATATTTGGTTTTTATAAGACTTGCCTCCTTAATTTTTAATCCTTGTATTTATTCCTCCATAGGAATTAGTCCCTCAAACTTTTTTCAACTTGTTACACGTTTATTTTGATTAATTTAGTCCAGCAGAGAGACTAACGGTTAACATACTATACCCTGAGGGATTAACTCGTGTGGAGGAATAAATCAAGGAATTGAAACATTAGAAAGTATATCTTCCAAGGCCGATTTGTTGTATTTACTCGTTTTTACTTTACTATTTTATTTGTATCGCTAAAAATGATCATGTTATTTGTTTCTAACAGGCAGTTTGGCCTCACAGTGGCCATTATCGTCCAACCGAAGAGAATTTTAAGGAATTTATTTCATTCCTTCAGGAGAACAATGTGCACCTCTCTGATGTCAAGGTATCAGGAGAAAAATCTCGTTTCACATTCTGTTGTAATGCCTTAGATCTTTATAAAACATGTAAAAGACAGGAGGACAATGTCTTATGGTACTGTTATGTGCTATGTGCAGATGAATGCAGTTGACGAGGATGAGTTAGAGTCAGAGAAAAGCAAGAAGCATCTTAGAAACCCCTCATATATAAAGGACATGACCGAGGACATGAGTTGCTTGGAGGCTGAAGAGATCATTGATGAAGACGGGGATTTATTAGAAGATAAAGCCAATTTATCTCAGAAAGAGAGTGCCTCTAAGATGGCAGCGCCTAGAACAAAGCTTTCTATTCTAGGAAGAGAAATAAGCAACCTTGAAATCCCGGAGAGGGGTACAATTTGTGGGAGTTTCCAAATGGAGTCTCCTAAAGAAGTTCAAGAAGGTGCACAAGCTTTTGTTTCAGAGCCGGATCACATGGTTCAGAAGGAAAACTCTTCCAAGGAAAAACAAGATGAGACGGATGGAGAAACCATTACAACAGAGTCAATACTTAAAAGGATTAACTCCCACAAGGGAATGAAATCATGCCAACTGGGAAGACGGTTATCTTGCAAATGGACTACCGGAGCCGGGCCTCGCATTGGTTGTGTGCGGGATTACCCGAGTGAACTTCAGTTCCGAGCTTTGGAGCAAGTTAATCTGTCTCCGAGAAAAAGCTGCCTTTCTAAATCATCATTATCTCCAAGAACCCCCACCGGGTTGAGCCGAAGAGTTTCAACACCACAAAGTCTGTTAGCGAGACAACAACCATAGGGATGCCATCTGAAAGTGATGATCAAGACTCAAGATCAGACTCCTTGCCATTATTTCGAGGAACATCAGTAATACCAGTTATTTATACTTCATAACGGACCGAAGATGATTCTTAATTTTTCTTCTGGTAAGCAAAGAGGATTCATAATTTAATTTGTTCTTTTGTGTGAATAGGAACAAAGACAATAGAATATTGGTCATTCAGTCCATTAATTCCCATAGGAATTCTTTCTTTAAAGTAGGCTGGAAGCTGTAAATGTTTATAGAGTCTATACTCTATACTCTCCTAATAGAAAGGAAAACAGATTCAGTCCGCCATAACATTTAGAAGCCATGGCAGATTTCTGACGTCAGATGATTTTTTTTACCATATCTTGTTTGTGTTTCTTTTTTTTTTTTTTAAAGATAAGTGTAAAAAAATGTGACTGTACCTTTTGCTGATATGTTCCTCTCAATTGCAAAGAGACACAAGGTTTTTTATTACCTCCTTTTTCCCCCACGGCATATTATGCTTCTGTTTCTAAAGCACGTCAGTCGAGGATGTTGTTTGTAATGGCATGGGTTATGATGATGAAGGCAGTTTACAACGAGCCCAAACTAGCTGATTTGACCATAAAATCAGTGTATCACTGTTTGGTTTGGTTCATGACAAAGTTAAAATCTTAAATCAAATACCTCCTTTGACTTGAAATGTAACAGCTAGATAATTATTTATAAAAATTAAAAAAAATTAATTACACTAATTATTTATAATAAATGTGTGTTAATTTCTTAAAATATTTCTTTTAATCATTTATATTAAAAATTACCTTAATTGACAATCACTATGATTGTTTTGAAAGTAGTTATAATTTCGTGAGATAGAGTTAAGATTTTTTATTTTGGATCAAAATAAATCTCTCAATTAACTTTTATATTTAAAACTAGAGGGAGCATCTTGAAAACCAGTCAAAAGTTAAAAATAAAATAAAATTGAGGCTTTATTCTTCTTTTGTTTTAGGTAAAAATTGCTAAAAACGAGAGAATGTGATGCTTATGAGGTATGAGTGCAACTTTGGATGTTTTGATTTAAAAGCTTTCTTCACGCCCTTAAACCCTTTTAAGAATAATGAACAGAATCGAGTTTTAAGATGATATCAATTTAAACATCTATCACTGATATTCTAAGCCATTGATATACTTGGACAAAGATTGAACTTATGTTAACTTCTTGTTTTTTGTAATTTTTCTTCTTATCACGGGAATCCCTTGGGTAGTTTATCAAAAGTAGGGTATCTGTTGAAAGAAGAGTATTTACTATAAAGAGCGAAGGATTATAATTGCTCACTGGTGTCTGATTTAAACTTCTGGATTATAATGGAGAAAGTCTCACAAGATTTTTAAGAATTGGACTTACGT